ACATCCTTTCCATCTCTCAACTTTCCTTCTGTAGATTTTTTTTTTTTTTTGCCTATATGATAGGTGCTAAAGGGCTGATTGATAGAGAGCAAAGACCCGAAGTTTTAAAACTCTTCAGAAACTGAACAGGAATGAAATGGCCATGATGTGGAAAGTGGAGGTAAAGAGCTTGTGTGGTGTTCTCAGGTACCTGAGGAATTCACGTGGCTGGGTCAGCGTTTAGTGGGATGTGGGAAGGTAAAAAGCCATCACTAATCATTCCATACACATCGCTTATTTTTGAATGTTTTCATGACCTGAAGAGCCAAAGGACAATTCTGAAAGATTATAGCTTCAGTTCCAGGGTCTGTGAGAACCACTGATGTCCCCTAGCCCTTCCCTCCCCGCTCTTCCACCCCCTCACTGTTCTGGCTCCTGCTCTCCTCGCCCTTTGCCAAGATGTTTCAACGCTCTCAGCTGGGAACAAAACTAACCTGACAATAAAAAGCAAGTCTTTTTTCCTCTTTTTTTTCCCCTTTTTTTTTTCTGGGATACGTGCTGAAAAGGCTCACAGAGGGTGGAGGCAGCGTGTGCCTGGAGGCTGGGACCTCAGTGCCAGGAGCCTGGGGAGGGTGCGCTCTGCTCCCCCTGGCCCAGCTGTGACCCAGTCAGAGGGGAATGGTGAGAGTTCCTGTGTCCTGATCAGGGGCAGTGTGGGCTGGGCAATGGCTCCAGGTTGAGCTGTTGCCTCTGCAGATTGGACCTAGGAGCAGCTTTTGCTATTTACGGAAGGGATTAGGGTTGTGCAGAGAGCAAACAGCCGTAGCCGGGAGCACAGCGGTTGTCACAAACACCTTAATTGCCTGCAGCTAGATGGGAGGCAGCCCATCCCAGGCTTAATAACACAGGCATGGTGAAGGCAAACCTGTCAACAGTGGGCTGGCCCCCCCTGTGCTCTATCTATTGCAGTGCTTGGGGGTTTCCAAAGCTGAAGAGTACTTTGGAGAGGTTACTTGATGTGTACGTACGATAGCATTGCCTTGCGCCTTCCTCTGAAGCTCATGGCTCTTCATAAGGTAGCGGACAACACAGAGCTTATGGCACTTCACATGGAGTTGTCCATGCAGAAATTGCACCAGGTCAGTTTTACCAGAATTGCCGTTTTAATCTGTTCCTCTTTGCTATCTATACAAATTCTGGCATGCCAATAGAGAAGAGATCCACAGTCACTTCACTCTGAGGCTCCTTTCACGTCTCTCTGATTACACTCGTTTCTCCAGCGCACGAAACAAAACCAGCCCCTCACAAAATAAACTGATCTTTGTTAGCTGACAGCTTTATGGAAGTGGGAGGCCTTTGTGCATGTTTTTGTGCTCGCGCTCGGTGCCGTGATCTTGGATCACCACCTGCTGTCTGCTGAAAGAATTCATCCGAAATCGCGTTTGCGGAACCACGTTGTGCTGGTTGAGGCGTCCCTGGCTTCCTCCCCTCTGCGAGGTACCGAGGTTCCGCTACGTCTGTTTGCGTCTCGCCTGGCTGCGTAGCTTGGAGCCGCAGAGCTTGTTAATTAAGGTACGTGTGCATCAGCTCTTAAAAACGTGTCGCTGTTTAGGATTTCTCGCTGGCTTAGCTGAATTGTTTTTTCAAACAAAGCGTGGGATGAGCTGCAGGTGAAACCACAGCCCAAAGAAGGGAAGCTGACACCTGGAGGCACGGCCGTAGCTCTGGAGGTTTGGGAGCCCAGGCTGGTGTCCCGTGTCCTGCTGGTGCACTGGGCGGGGTGTGCTGGTGAGACCGGTGTCAGAGCTCGGTAGGAAGGCAGCTGCTCTGAATCCCTGCCTTCTGTGTGAGTGCTTCCTGTGGGAGCCTGAGAGCTGAGTGAGTATACAACATAGGGGTTTCTGGTTTTCTTTGAACTGTCAGTTACTGTGTCGTACTGAGGCTTTTTCCCTTTCTGAGGGGTGTATGTTTGGTTAATTGTTCTGAGTTACAGTTGTGTGGAACAGCCCATCCTTGCTTGGTAGGCATGGGATGGCAGCTAGTGGTAGTATGAATTCATATCTGCTAACCTGGAGCTGCCAAAATTGTTCCTGCAGCTGGGTGTCCCTCAGGCTTCCTTCCTGGAGACCACCATCCATCTCGTGTTGTGGCTGCGAAAAGAGTCTGTCCGAGCCTGGACGTTAATTAGGTTCATTTTATGCTATCGCACAAGTTGATAACAGCAGTAATTAGTGGGAACTGCAGCTGAGCTGTCTTTGTCCCGCGATGGCATCTGTGCGTGCGTTTGGGGATGGTGACTACTCTCTGACATATCTCAGTCTGTCGATGTTGAGTCATGATGCTGAGAGGTTCACCAGCTAAATCAGGCAGTGCTGGTGGTGCAGGGAGGCATGTCGTTGAGACAGGGTAGACAAAATACTTCCAGCTCGGCTCTCTTGGTTGCGTCTCCCTCCTGCATGCCTTCATTGAGGGTTTTGTTGAAGCGCTTCGTATCTCTTGGGATGTGGGAAAATCAGCGCTTCTGACTGCAGGACCCTTCTGCAAAGGGTTGGAGGTAGGGAAAGGAGTTCAGATTCTCTCTTGGAACATAAATGGGATTTTTTTGTGCGTGTTCTTGAAAATACGAAGCGTTGGGTGAATGCTGAAATTGGGCAGAGTGGCAGAAGAGGGGGGGTATCAGTACACCATGAAACCTGCGGGGAACACATTAGGAGTTCCCTTCATAGACATGAGTGGGGGCAGGAAGGAAGCAGTGAAGGAAATAAAAATGTTAAAAAGTAATTAGACAGGAAACGTGTAAGTAATCACAGCTAGAGGAAAAATAATTTCAAATACAGGTACTCCTTTGGATAGTGAAAGCTGGGCAAGCATAGTAGCAATAGATTTACTGATAACCTGAGGCGTGATTTCTGCATTTTAGTATATTTAATATTATTATAAATATGAGATTAGAAAAAAAAATCCCCGAAGTTAGAATGGTATTAAAACACTCCATTCTGCACTAAAAATCCCTTATTTAAAAATCTTAGGAAGGTCAGAGAGAAGTAATAAATAAAGTTGTCAGGCTGTTTTGGCTTGTGAGATGTGATTAAGCTTAAAATAAATGTGTTATCAAAACACCACAAGAAATAGGGGGGAGAGAGAGAGAGATAGCATTTTTCATCCTTCAAACACTTGTAGATAATTGAAGAAGGGAGAGAAAATATTTGAAAGGTTGAAAAGCATTTAAACTAGAAGGGGTGCAGTGTTAACCGAGGGAGGGGGGAACGTTGGAAATATGATGATGCGAGGTTTGTGGGCTGGCATTTTAAGCAGTCGAGGGGTGAGATTAAACAAAATGCTGGAGTACGTCCTTTAGGGAGCAACGCCACACTGTTGGGGAGAAGGCACAATAAGTTTTGTTGGTGGCTAATTAACATTCTCTTCCTCCTGTCGGGTGCCATGGGCTTGTGAGTCTGGTTTGCTCTAAGAAGATTGGAAATAGTTTCTGCTGTGGCATCTTCCCAGGGGTTGTTGTAGCAGTTCTTGAAATGAAAAAAAAAAAAAAAAACCAAAAAAAAAAAAAAAAAAAAACCAGCAATAAAACCCAAGCGAACAAAAACTCAGACAGTTTAGTATTTGGATCCAGTGTTAAACGGTTGATGTTAAGCTATGGTTAAAATGAAAGAAACAGGCAGACCTGAGCTGTATGGAAGTATGCTAGAGATCGGGTATAACAGAGTGCTGGTAAGGCTCTCAGATTTTGAGCACAGATGAGGCTGCCTGTAGCTCCCCACTGCCGGGACTGGGCAGGAGACAGAGTAAGCACAAATGAAGTAGGATCAGCCCTAATCTGGGGAGCGAACCCAACTCTTCCAGGAAACGTGGCCCTGGGTGGGCAGGCTGAGCACTGGGCAGACTGAGCAGGCTGGGGACTGGGCCGACACCTGAAGGAGCAGTGAGGTTGTGGTTGTCATCTAGGCTGGGAAGGGACGGTTGCAGGCAGAGGAAAAGAGCGGGAGGTCTGTGCGCTCTCTGCTGAAGATTGCTCGGTAATTTCCCCTCTGCGTCTCCTGTCTGTAGGACAAGCTCCCTCTCCCTTTTCCTCCCTTGGTTTAAGCATGCTGGTGTACCTCTGGGCTTTGAGGGGGAGGACCAGGGGCTGGAACAGCAGCCAAAATTTAAAATCAGGATTAGTCTGTTGACACGCACATAAATCAAACAGCCGTGCTCTCATAAATCTTCTCTGTGGGTTTTGCTGCTGTGGCAGTAGGAGCAGTGCAGCAGGCTGGGCTTCCCAGGGCTGGGTTTCAATGTTGAGATGCTTGTCCTTCACCCGGGTGGCTCATGAAGGTCACCCCCAGCTCCCTCCTGCCCCCTCCACGACAGCCCTGCAGTGCTGCAGGCTTTGGGTTTGCTGCTGGGGTTTTTTCAGGAGTAGTAGGATGAGATGTCTTCTGGGGATATATTTTGCACAGTCAGCTGGCTGTTTCTGGGTTGTGCAGTTGGTGTGCTAAAAGCTGCACCTGTGCTCGGTGCTCATCACTGCCAACGCAGGGGAAGGGGCTGCTGCACAGATGTGTGCTTCTTTCTCTTGCTGTAATGCAACAGTGTGCCCTTCAGCGCTGTGTGCCTGGGTGCAGAACTGTGAAGATGGGGCTGGAGGAGATGGACCTAGCACCCTGCTCTTCTGTGTGCTTCCATTCCCATTCTCAAGCTCCAGAGCCTCTCTACCCTTCCAAATAATGCCTTACCGCATGTGAAGCATTTTCATGAGATTTCAGGTGTGAGCAAGTTGCAAACCCCATAGATGGCTCTCCATGTGCCACCCAGAAGTGAGAAAGTTGCCCAAGTGTGATTAAAAATCAATGTGATGACTCAGCGGAGCGAGGCCCAATAGAGAAGAAAATAGCAGACTGTGGAAGCGAATGGGATATTTGCATGAACCTTGTGAAACATATGTGTGATTGTGGATGATTTCTCAGGCTGATACATCCATCCGTCTTCTGTGGTGTGATAAAACTGCTTTCTCCTTTCTCCAGGGTAACCAGGAGCCAGCAGCAACTCCTGATGCAATGGTGCAGCCATTCACCACAATCCCATTTCCGCCACCCCCACAGAACGGGATTCCCACAGAGTACGGGGTGCCACACACTCAGGACTATGCAGGCCAGACCAGCGAGCACAATCTGACGCTCTACGGGAGCACGCAGCCGCACGGCGAGCAGAGCACGACCACAGCCAGCACGCAGAACGGATCTCTCGCAGTAAGTGCGGAAAAGCGCGGGGCAGCAGAACGGTGCCTCTGGAACGGGCGGCTGTGCAGGAGGTGGCTGCCTGTTGCTCAAGTGTGCAGAAAGTCCTAGGCTTGGGAAGGAGAGAATGGCAAAAAGCCAGGGGTTCTGATGATTCATTGCCGCGTTCTCATCTTTCCCCTTCTGCGTGTTTCCCTTGTAAATAAATGCCTGCAACTGCACCTGAGATCGTGGTGCTTTTACCACGGTGGTGCTGTCCAAAGACAAGTCTTTCCTAGAAAGATTAATTACCTTGAGTCAATTGGTACATGGTTCACATGAATGTGGTGGAGGCAAGTTCTAGAAGGTTGACAGCAGGAAGGATTTGAGAGAGCACGTGTATTGTAGGTGTAATCCTGGAATGCTTCTGCTTTCAGGAAGCTAACAGAGTAGCAAAACACTTTTCTTTGACTTTCTGAAAATGGCAGGGAGCTTCAGGGGCAAAGATAGGAGAAGACCTCTCAGCTACTAGGCGTCCATTTACCAAACAAAGATTTTCACCTTCTTACGTTTTTTGCTTTCTTCTTCCCATGGCCTGGAACTGGCACTGGGCAACATGCTGACAGATTATCCCGGGAAAAGCTTTATCCACCCCTTAAGCCACTTGTTAAGACTTAACTTCCTAATAAAGAGCCTTATGGTGAGAGCCTTCGGTGCTCAGGGGTGGATTTAATCTGTTAATGCTTTCAGTTTTGCTTGTAGTTGGGTGTTTGGCTCATAGAGATTATTTTCCCCCCTGTAAGTACTGAGCGAATTTAGTGCCAGCGATGGGAAGAGCTGATAGTGCCAGCCCGAGTGTGCACGGCTCCCAGCAAGGGGCCTTGCTGCTTCTGCAGTGGGCACTGGTTGACAACACCAGCTATGGCTTTGATAAGTTATCATTGAGTTTATCCTGGGAACGCCTCAGCTGGAAGAAGAAGACGGTACAAACCCAGTAAAGCACATCGATAGTGTGTAAAAAGAACTTCAAAGGCCTTCCTTGGCCTAAGGCAAATGCAAACATAGACAAGAAGAGATGAGGCTGGAAATAAAACCTAAGGCCGATGCAGGGTACAGCATGCAGAAATGCAATTTGTCATAAAGGCATGTTGTTTGAGCCTGGAGGGTCTGGGCTGCCCATCTCCAGCAGACAACTGGGTCGATGAGAAGAGTGGAAATGGGGAGCAAACTGGAGCCGTGCCTTTTCTCCTGTGGGCATTTGCTCTTCCCATCTTTGCCCAGAGCTTGAGAGCCTTTCTTTTTTAATGGAAGCGATGTGAGCCCTGACCTTGGCTGCGGGCTCTCGCCAAACCTCCTGCTCCTCTTCCTTATTAGGAGCCGTCCCCACAGTGCTGCAGGGCCTGGCTCTGCCTCCCATCAGCCAGCGCCGGCTGCGCAGCTCGCCGTGTGCGCGCCAACCGGGGATGGGGACGAGCAGCCTGTGTGTGGGAGGGAGCGTTGCTGGGAGACTGCAGGGAGAAGCTGGTGTTGCCAGGAGGGAGCGTGACTGGGAGAGGTGATCTGGGAAGCAGGCAGGGTAATGCATGATGCTGGTTATTGGGAGCAGGTGGGCACGTCTGGTGCGAGCGCTTAACGCGGTTAAAGATGCAAGCTGAGCGTGCAAAGTCAGTCTCCATGGCCGGAAGGGAGTGAGGGTGCAGCTGGGACTGCTCGAACCCAGAGCATCCCAGATATTGGCACGTGGGGAGGGGGAAGGCAGCTCGGCCGCAGGCATTCCCACACTTGTTATGCATCGGGTTTTGGATCGCCTTTGTCCCTCTATCTCTCTGTGCAGGAACCCTACTGTATGAATTTATTTTCATTCCGTGGGGTGCCTTGGGATGTAATTGCTTGCAACTTTTCTCCTTCTCAGTATGCTGATTAATGATGTAGGATCTAGGGGGAGGAAGAAGGCTCAGCAGTTGCTCAAGCTAAAGCATGCTGTTAAAATACAGCCGAACAGGTTGGTTGTTTCATCTTGAACATCTACAGCTAACGTCAAGCATCTTGTCTGTCACACAGACTGGTTATTGCTTGTTTGACATACACGTCCAATCTATGTGGAATAGACTGCTATGCTTTAAGGAGCTTTCCCTTCATTTTGTTGTCTTGCTCAAATGCCAGTGCTAACTTTAACATAGCAAAAACTCGTTGCTGGTGATATGCGATCCTCCCCTCCCATTATTGGGATTGACAAGCACAGCTGCTGTCATCTGTGCGAAGGCGATACCCCTGACTAAATATCTGGCAGGTTTTTTAGCCGCTGACTGCAAGCCTGTGCTCCCATGGGATAGTTCACACATTTCCTTAGGTCAGGCGGATCAGGTCCCTCCTTGCTTTTAAGAACAAGGCTTGTATGGCTGCCCTGTTGGCAGGACAGAGCGAGACGGCAGAGGTTGTGTGGATTTTTGGCTTTTCAGGCTGGTAGTGTTAAGGAGAATTCCAGAAGTAACAGAATATGGGGTGACTTAGAGGTCCCTCATGGAAAGAGAAATATCATTTGGTTGGTGTTGACTTACACAGCAGCGTAGTGGGGTCTGTATTGGGGTCCCTTGTACAGCGTGGGGGTGTCTTCTCATAGGAACTTTTCAGGATCTCATGAACAAGTTGGATTGAATGACTTGAGATTAGCTGTGGGATCTGCTGAGTTAATACACAGTGATCCGGAAGGCTGAAGTCAAACAGCAGATGTGAACATAAGTAAAAGAAACCTTGGTAGTCAAAGTCCATGCCTTCCTGTGTGCTCCTCTAGGCTGAGCAAAGCTCCCAAGTGAAGGGGGTTGATTGGTTGGTGTCATCAGCGGAGGGTGAGCTTGGTTCTGGAGGGCAGAGTGTAGTGGAAAGCATTCAAAGCTCTCGGAGCAGGGGCACGGAAAAGGAATTGACACAATAGGTGGTGTAATACAAACAGCTTAATACTTTGGAACCTTTTTATTTTAGGATCAGGCCTCATCCATGGAGCTTTGTTTCTTGTCTGGCATGTGGGTCTCCTGGTCATCATCTCCGAGCATCTGTCCTTTCTCTTGATACTGTCCGAAAGCACAGCTGAAAGACCTGCCTTAAAAATAGCCCGAGGTAGCAGACCATATTTGGCCTACTTGCTCTGCCTGTTACAGCCTGTCTCTTAAACTGTTGACACTCTGCATTTCACTTTTTATAGTGCTGGGCTGCCTGGCTTCTTTACCTTCCCTTTTCTTGGTTTACACGAGTTCTCCCTGCTGGAGACACCCAGCGCAGAGAGCCCCAGGGAGCGATGCTAACGAGGCCGTGGCTCCTCTGGCAGCTGAGCTGATCTAAAGATTCACCGCTGTCAGAAAGGAGAGATCTGGCTCCCAGCACAAATTCCCACTCCTGTTTACCAGCTCTGGCATTCCTCACGTGAGCCACTTGAATTCACTGACCCGGCAGAAAGCTGTCCAATTCTTTCGCTGGGTTAATGAATTAGAGGGGCTCTTGGAGGAATCCAGCACATGCTGTTGTCTCAAGGTAGGTGCATGGAGAGCGTGGCCAGGAGCCGAGAGCAATTGTCAGCTCGCTGCATCTCCCAGTGCTCTACCCGCAGAGGGAAGATTAATCATCGCTGAGCTACAAAAGCTTGCTTGATAGTAAATGCATTGCACTTAATACTGTGAGCTGATTATTCAGCTCGTTTCTCTTGTTAATGTCAGAGGGAAGAATTTGTGTGTCTATATAAATTACAGAATGCAGCTGGAGCTATGGAAGTCGAGGAGTAAGTTTATGCAAATGACTTTGCACGAAAATGGCAGGTGCTGTCGCCTCGGCACTGCGTTGTCGTGAACCAATATAAAGCATTATTTAATTACAGAGCAGCGTGTCTCTCGGCTTTTCAACTCGCCATACTGAGGCATATTTAACTCATCTGCCTCCCCATAAAGGGATATAGTCTTCCAGGTTTTGTGAAGACACATCTGTGGTGGGGGACCCCTGTGTACCGCGTTTGGAAGCAAGATGGGAGGCTGCTGGGTCAGCTGGCTGTGGCCCAGGCGTCCACCAAGAGTGGAGAAGGGAGGGAGCCAGGAGCATTATGGAGGTTCCTCAACTTATTATGCATGACTTTTTACACTGTCTGATGGTGACAGGACAAAGTGAAAAGGCTATAAAAGAGGGGAGATTTAGGTTAGATGTTAGGAGGAAATCTTTCAGTCAGAGGGCAGTGATGCACTGGCACAGGCTGCCCAGAGAAGCTGTGGGTGCTCCATGCCTGGAGGTTCAAGGCCAGGTTGGATGGGGCCTTGGGCAGCCTGAGCTGGGGGCTGGCAGCCCTGCCCACAGCGGAGAGTGGGACTGGGTGGGCTTTGAGGTCCCTTTCAATCCGACCGTTCTATGATGATGCTATGAGGATGACTTTCCCTCGGGTATTTTTTACCTAGTCTGAGATAGAGGAAAAATTTCCTCTGTAATTATTTTTCATCACTTCAGTAATTAAAGCATTTGCTCTTGTTGAGGTATTTCAGGTGAGAGATATCCTTAATGAGGATCCTCCGTACTCTTCTGATACAGCTAAGCAGGTAGATGTGAGGAGGAGCAGGCTCCCACTAAGTATGTAGCTGCTGGTTGTTCAGACACCACAGATTGGAAATCGTTGTCTGGAGGTAGAAAACTCTGACATTTAACATCAGAAATTTGCTTTGAGTACGAGGCAGATTATTTTGGTTGTCAGCGCTTTCCAGACTTGCGTCTAGTGAGGCAGATTTAAAAATGATTTCAAAGGAGAAATAGAGAATAAATCAGAAAATATCATTACGTGTGCGTATACAGCCGTGGTGGTGCTGTGTATCTCTCAAAGGTTAGAGGAGATCTAGAAGCAGCGTAGAGAAGGATAATAGTGGTGATGAAAAGGGTGTAGCAGGTTCTTTATGAGAAGAAATGAAATCTTCACTTAGGAAAAGAGCTGATAGATGAGTGAAGGGATGTGACATGCATAGAATACTGAATAGTGTTGAGAACTCTACCGCTTTCACGTACTTGGATACGTGCAGGAAATAGCCCTGTGCTGTGCATATTTAAAAAAAAAAAAGCAAAACAAAACAACAACAAAACTCACAGCTTTTCTTCATATTTTTGCCTATATAATGAAGAATTTAGGTGTGGGACTCTTGTTTGTAGGATCATAGAATTGCTCAGGTTGGAAAAGACCCTCAAGATCGTCAGGTCCAACCTCAGCCTAACCCTACTATCCTAACTCTTAACAACCCTCCACTAAATCATGTCCCTGAGCACCACATCCAAATGGTTTTTAAACACATCCAGGGGTGGTGACTCAACCACCTCCCTGGGGAGCCTGTTCCAGCGCTTAACAATCATTTCTGTAAAGAAGTTTTTCCTGATATCCAACCTAAACCTCCCCTGGTGTGTTCACAGGATGCTTTGGAAACTGAGAGTATGAATGGGTTCATAAAACTCGCAGGAATGTTTCATGGGCAGTGGGTTCATTGCCAGTGGTCAGCTATGAAGAAGGCATGGCCTGTTCCTGCTTGCTGGAGTCTGAGACCTCCAGGGTGGGAGGCCAGAGGAGCACCACCAAGTGTTTGCCCCATTCCTGTGTTCTTACCCAGGTAACAGCCAGAAGCAAATACACCCAAGGTTACCGTAGCTAATGGAAATAGTCAAAAGCTCAGCAGAAGTGGTTGGGTGTGATAAGGCAGGAGAGGTTTTGCTATCCAGTGCCCGATTCCTTTGGTGGATTTTTCCACCAAATCATCTTTGTGGGTGTCTGTTTGGAGGTGGGCATCTGGTTGTTTTGACCCAGGCATTTCAGTGGGAATTGCAGAGATTTTCCAGCATTCCCTGCACTCTTCCTGGCAGCGGGCAGGCTGCTTTCTGCCAGCCCCAGCATGCAGTCCCTGTCTCCACACAGTTCCTCAGGGTCTTGATCCCATCAAGACATTTTTGTTTTTTATGCATCCAAGACTGGTCTAGAAGCAGTGGAGTGAGCACAGTCTGTCTCTCAGATGAGCCACCCCAAGTCCCCTTTTAAATATAGCTGTTAGTTACAGCTTGTATTTTGTAAATATTTTCTTTTGCAATGATTTATGGTTCATGATGGTTCTCAGCCTTTGGAGTGCCCATTTCCTGGGGGAAGAAGTCAGGGGGTTGTTGTTCAATTTGCTACAACTTGAACCTGAAGCAGTTCCAGTTAAGAAGAAGCAGGTGGGAAGCGGTGTGTGCTCTGTGCTGGCCTGTGGGGTGAGGGTTCTTTTTGCTCCTGGTGGGGTGGCCCCCTTGTCTGCTGGCACAGACGGATGTCCACTCTGGGCTCAGGTGCACCCACTGCTTCCCCTCCCTCCAAGAAGAAATCCTTCAGCATTGGCTTGTTTGCCAGCTGTTCTGAGAAGAAGAGCCTGTCTGGGAGGCAGGAAGGTGGCTGTACAGCTCTCCAAGCCCTGCGAGACGCTCCATTCCTCTTTCATGTACATTTCCCTTTACAGCCCCTTCTTGCTTAGGGTTTCTTTACTGCCAGTGGGTGCAAGGAGGTGGCACAGGGGCAAAGGAAGCGAGGAGTCGAGCGAAGCAAATCCTGTGTGCGTGCTGAGCTGCGGTGCTGCTCTCAGTGACCTTGAACAGCTCAGAGCTTGTGTGTGCAGCCATGAATGACATTATCGCTGCATAAGTATATGTTACCCAGACTGCAGGGAGGAGGCAGCGGGGATCCAGGGCTGTTTCCAAACATGGGGCCTTTGCCCAACTGCGAGTTCTGAGAGCCAGGGAACAGCTGTCAGCTCCCTTCTGCGTCTCAAAACCTGATGTGGGGAAGGGAAGGAGTCAGGGTGAGGAGCGGGTGCTGGGTGAGACACGATGATAAAAGCTTGGGCTCGGTCAGGGCAGCGCTTTGCCAGTCTCCATTATGTGCCGCTGGAGAACGGGCTCCGGGCCCTTGCTTTCATCTCCTTCCTAATGAATTAAGACAAGGAATAACTATAAAAGGAGCGGGGGAGAGGAAAGCGAGATCTGAGGAGACTGTTTCTTTCATTGATGTTGTAGCTGGATGTGTGGCAGTAGACAAATGTATCCAGCTAATGTTATAGTGGCAGAAAGTTCAGCTCTTACCTTGGGGCTGTGGATGCAAAGAAATGAGAGAGGTTGCAGCATCCGGAGAGAAGAGGTATTTAATGTTAAACTACTGCTGAAAAATCAAGGAAATGAGAGGGCCTGCAAAAACATGTTGTCAGAAAGGTAAGGTTGGGCTGAGAGGCCCCCATCCCTTCTCTTGTTTCTCCAATTTGAAGCCTTTGTCTCGTACACATCTCACATGCTGGAAAAGTGACTCCTGTGTGACAGCAGCACGCTGCCATATGCGGGAACAGCTGTGAGTGTTTTTGAGCAGGCCACTGTACGTGATAGATCACACCCTTGGTAAGAAAGTTCTGCCCTCTGCTTAGGAACAAATGGCTGGGAGAGGAGTGCAGGCAACCTCCCGGCTCCGTCTCCTCTGGCAGCAGCAGGACCAGTCCTATTCCATCCATATTTCAATTAAGGATCTAACATGGTCTTACTGTTTCTGTTCAGAGTCTCTGCCTTTCCTAATTCCACTGCAGAAGATTCAGTGATGAAGCATGTGAATGTTTGCCCACTTGCCAATTCTGTGCATGACTTAGGATGTGGTGAATTGCTCTATCAAGACTCCAGAACGCGCTTGAAAATGGGTCAGGAAGAGATGCCTTAGAGCAGGAGCATCAGTGGTTTTGGGGGAGTTGTTTTGGAGCGCTCCCTGCGACACAGACATTGTGTGCAGTGGTGATGGATGGGCTACCCCTGTGCTTTGTCCTGCTTGGACAGACTTACCCCGAGGAGCAAAGGACTCTGATGGAGTAATAAAAATAAAACCACCGAATAGCATGGTGTGATTTAATCACAAGTCAGCTGCATTGATTCTTCCCCTAGGGTGCACACTGTGTTTGGAGATGCATTTTATCATAGGGGTAGGGGTGGGAGAAGAGCTGGGATTTGAAGAGGGGGTGGCTTCTTTTTTAGATACAGTCAAATGGAAGGTCGTGAGGTTGTTCTTGAAAATTTGATATCTGAGGAGCAGAGGGGTTGAGCCTTGGCCAAATAAAAATTCTTCATCCCTCTGGGCTTCTCCTGAGACTCACATGGCTCTGGGGAGTAGAGATAATTGCAGGGCAGTACTGCTGTTCCTCCTATCACAGCTTAATTTATATTAATCAGATCAAATGTGTTTTACGCTGTCCTACTAAAACAATATGGAAAGCTGCCACTGCTTTGCTCAGCACAAGAGGCCAGTGCTTAACTATTAGCTTGTTTTTGTCAGTCCATTATAACCACTGTACAAGGTCAAGGTTATATTTGTCAAGGACATGTCTGGCCAGAAGAAGCTCTCTTAATGTTGCCAGTATAGTGTATCTGTGGAGAGATGAGATTTTTTTGTTGTTGTTCCAAGTATCACCAAGTGTTGTACATGAGATGATGTGTAGGGCAGTCTAGCGTGCCTGGACAGTGGTTGGGGAACCAGTGCAACTCTCCACATACTTTCCTTTTTTATAGACAAACTTATATCTAGAGAAAGAAGAGAGAAAACAGAGGCCTTCACCAAAACAACCCCCTACTTCTTAATTGTGAGTTTTAAGGCTTGAAGGTGCCTAAAAAAGGCTAAGTAACAATTACGGAGTCTTTCTTTCTCATAGAGCTTCTTTTCACTCAGCGAATTAAGGAGGAAGTCAGGTTGGCACCTAAAGAAAGGAAAAGACATTTTAAAGTGCATCATACAAGTGTCAGAGCGTTAGTCCCACGGGGCTGAGGCAAGCAATAGGAGATGGCAGTGACTGGGTGGATGCTCTTTGAATACCTTTACCCATCATACTGCTTGCTCTTGCACAGGGGCAGAACAATAAGACTGGCCAGGTTATAGTCTGCTCTGTTCTGTGGCTCTGAGTGTTTTCTGGTATGGTTTTGACTGAATTATAAAACCCCTACTGTTTTCTCATCAGTGCATTTTGCAAAGGGACAGTCCCTTGCCTGTTGAGTGCTTTGCTCAGATGTTATGCTTTTTACTCTCAGCCCAGCACAAACAGCTGAAGTTCTCTTCCTTGCTTCTTCTCTGTGGGGCCATTAGGTCTGTCTCCTGGCACACACGTCTGCCTCCTTGCTGTATGTTCTCTGTGCACAAGTATTAAGAGCCCACCCTTGCCCTGGCTTGCTGTACCACTTGGGAGTGCCAGACCCAATTCCTTTATTTCAGTTGTGGAGCTGGCAGCAGAAAGTAACATTTGGAGGTTTTTATAAATCCAGCAGCACTAATGACTGTTTCCTGTCCCTGGGATGGCTTTTAAATGTACTAGAAAAGTTAATCAAAGACATCCGTAAGCTGTTGATACATGGATTTTACCGTTTAATTATAGACCTTCTTTTGGGGGTGGTGTTTCTCTGAAGGGAGCTTGACAGCAGATGCCATTTTGCCTGGAGATGCATTTCTGGTATTGGCCCGGTGAAGAGCTGCCACTTCAGCTGTGGGATTTTGATGATTGCAGGAACATCCTGCCACATGAGATTAGAGCGGCGGTACTGCCTCCCAGCTTCAGGATACGGAAGATCCGCCTCTTCATTAGAGCTTTCATATGGTGGCAGCTGAAGTGAGGAAGAGCAGGGGAAAAGAGAAGCAATTTAAGAAAACCAAAGGCAAATCTACTAAGCTAAAAGGTGATAGGAGGGGAAAGAAGATGAGATCTCATTACTGTTTAGTTGTGAAAAAGGGAGGGAAGAACAACAAATCAATGGTTAAGCATTGCTGGCTTTATCAAAGTAATTGTCAAGTACTCAGATGCTGCAGTCACAAATAGAGTACTAATGCATGAAAAGAGATGGACGGAGCACGTTGAAGTAATTTGTACGGTTTCTATTCATGCACACACTTGTGTTTTTCTGATTTCAGCAGACAGAAGGAGGGGCACAGACAGATGGACAGCAATCACAGACACAGAGCAGTGAGAACACCGAGAGCAAATCCACTCCAAAACGACTTCATGTGTCTAACATTCCCTTCCGCTTTCGAGATCCTGACCTTCGACAGATGTTTGGGGTAAGTTTGCTAAAGCCCTTCAAGGCACAGCAGGTTCTCCTTCACCACAGGCACAATGTACAATGCTGGCTTATTTATGTTCTCTGGGGAAAAAGCCCTTCTTTTGACCCTGTCCTGGTTTACTCAGCACCTATAAAATTGTTGCAAAATTAGGGTGATAGTAGCATTTGGTCAATGCACATGAAAACTCTGTGTTGTTCATACAGAGATGTTAATTATAAGCTAATAACTGGCTTGAGGAAAAAAAAAGACCACAACAAAACTTCACCTTATTTCCCAGTGAAGACTAGGATTAAACATTGACTTAATATATCCCTCACAAAGCGCTGTTTTTCAGTTGCTTGGGAACTTGTTGAAATATTTGTCTTTCCTCGTGATGCACTTCTGTGATGAAAAATTATTGCGAGGAGCTGGCCAACTGGTAATTGCATGTGGAAAAGCTAGTGCAAGTCAGATGGTATTTTGAGTTGGGTATGATATACATTTTGTTTCTTTTGATGGAATACTTTGTCTCCCCTAATCTTCATGTGCAATTCATCTTCCCAGTTTATAAGCTCTTTGGGGAAGGGTTAGTTTACGTGAGTATAGCCAGTGACTTTTTCCATGTGGACACAGATGAGCTGGGTGCCTCATGACCTAACATTTAGGTGAAGTTGGCTATATATCATCATCGGGAATCTGTGACTTGTTGGTATGATGGTAGCGTTCTTGGTTGATGATGTGTTTCAAAGTCTTCAGAAATACTTCTTTATAAAGGTAACAGGCTTAAAATGTTGCTGCCTATTTGAGATGCGGGGCAGAGCACTCAAGTCAGGGAAGAACAAAGCTAAGGTTGCCTTACCGTGCTGCTTTGAGTTTGTGTCCTTGATCCTAAACATGTAGCCAGCTGTTCCTCCAAATTCTGCACCATGCTGCACTTTCAGCTATTGCATCTCTTTAGACATCTGTGTATGTGTATGCACTGTCACAGGGAGAGTGGTGTCACAGTATTTTGAGTGTGTCAGATTGACATTTCGACTTCAAGCTTAAACTTACACATGAAAAAGGAATAACCGGAATTATTGATTCACTGCTTGGACTATAGAGATGGCAGAAATATTGAAAATTTCACTGATAGTCTTCAGTTGCTGTATATTGTGAGACATAGTTGGGTTTTGTTATCTATTTATTTATTTATTTATTTATTTATTTATTTATTTCTAAGCCATAAGAAGCTATTTTGTGGATGATACCAAATTGAGGAGTTGTTAAAATGCCAGAGGGCAGGGCTGCTGTTCAGAGGGACGTCAGCAGGTCTTCAGACACCTCCATCCTGGGAGGTGATCGACTCGACTGGGTACAGCCCAGCCAAACTGATCTCATTAGACCTGCTCTGAGCAGGTGTTGAACTAAATGACCTCTGGAAATAGGTCCCAGTTGAAATTACAACTCTGTGATTCTATTGCTGGAGGCCTGGGTTGGCATTCCTTCTTGTTCATGCATTAGATTGCTGCACTTTTGACATCTGTGGGAATGTTTTCAGGGTGAAACTCATCTCCTGGCAGTCTGTGATTGCAGAGTCTTCAGTTGCCTGCTCTGCTTGTGTTTTTTAGCTTGCTTTTTTGCTGTTTCAGAGCCGTGCGTTCAGCATTTCCGTCCGGTTTGGATAATCTGGTTGCTGAAATCACAGCCAGTTCTTGAACCACCTGCTATACTCTGTATTTAGCACTCCCTGCTCTGTGCTGCTGCTTCTCCCCTCTCCTGGGAGCTGTATCACTTACATAAACTGTTCTGTGTATGTGCTGCCCTTTCCCTTGGGCCTGGTGCTTTGCTCAAGACTGGACCCTTTCATACATATTTGCACTGATACTTTCCTCCCTGTACTCCTGGCATGGGGACAGGAATGAAATGGAAATGGCAAGAACATCCCTGTCTTGGTGACTCTCAACTCTCATGTCTGCTTTGGAGATGAAGAGACACAGGCGATAGGAATGAACTGCTGTTCTGGTGTGGAGCATGTAGAAAATATGGCCTGGCTGCTTCCATTAAGGTTTCTTATCTTTTTTGGGGACCCAGATGTTGCCACTTACACACTTCTAATCCCTTCTGTGCACTATATGAGTTTCTGTTGCTCCCCAAGTCGTCTGATTTTGGTTTGCTTTTTGTCTGAATGTCATCTTTAGTTCCTGCATGGTGGTGTGATTTTGACTTAGGTAAATGGTGTATTCCCTATAAAACCTTTTTGCTAGTTCACCTGGCACTGTGTTTTCTGAGAATTATGCATACCAGACCATCATCCATCTTTTGAGACATTAAAAAAAAGTGCCATTTTCCTGTAAGGAAAAACTTTATTGCTTTGCCGAGGAAATAATCAGTGGTTCTTGCAGTTCTTGCTTCTTCTCTGTGCTGCTTCTCTCAGCATGTTCAGAGCCTCAAGCAGGAGAGCGTTTCTGTCTGAATCCTCGTTGCTCCCATTTCTCTTTCAGGATCAGGATGCTTTCCCTTGGGTGACTTACTGAAACCAACCCTTTCTCCTACGGGGGACTCATGGTTGTCTGAATCTTCAGCTGTGGCTGCCTATAACCCCCATCTTCTCCCTCTCCCTTCCGTGTGTCAGGTCACATCTCTTCAACGTCATATCTGAGAGACTCAAAATCCTTGCCTGGAGTGGTTTTCCCAAACTGCTGTACAGTGAGAGAAATTGGGTAGACAGCGAGGCAGCGGAAGAGGGAGAAATAAATGTGATGGTGGGGAATAGGAGGAAAGAAGTCCCCTGAGGACTGAACAGCATGCGAGAGAGGTCAGCCCAGTCCTGAGGCACAAAACATTAGCTGATGCCTTCATCCAGTCCTGAGTAGAGGTGGACTTCAGATATGTTGTTGTGTGTGTGATTAAGTGGAAATTACATAATGCTTTCCGAACCATCGCCATTTGGGAGAGCTGCAGACATAAGGATTTCCTGACAAATTCAAGTTCTTTGGGTTTCAAGTCATCTCTCTCCTGTCACATGTTTCTAACAGGTACCCGAAATATCCTCTGCGATGGAACAAACATTTCCTTAAGTATATGCTTCTTATGGGCTGGCAAATAAAATAGGCTGCTTAGAGCAGGTAATATTTACCTGACATTTTGTGGTGCCGATGGAAAGACTTCAAGAAGGCTTCTAGAAAGAATAGGTCATTTTTAATGCACACAGTTCTGCACCCAGTGTGGAATAAATCAATAGTTGACCTTGTTCTAGGAGATAAAGAAGAGTTAATAGCTGATCTGAAATCCCACGGTTGCCTAGGTACCAGTGATTGTTATTTGTCTGTATTTACTTTGTGCAAATAGAATATGGCATCAGTCAGTAATGCAAGGAGCTTTAGAAGAGTCTGTTTCTTAGTTTAAACAATTGGCAGGATAGCCAACTGGGAAGGTACATTTAAAAGAGGGAAGCATTAATGTAAAGCATTCAGCAAAATCATCCTGATGGCCACAAAGGCGTGATTCCATGGTCATGGAAGTGTGGTACTATAAAGCAATCTGCACGCCACACAGGGAGGATGAAGAGGAAGAACGAATTAAGGAGCAGCGAATGTAATTACTTAAGCAAAGAATTAGGTGGGAAGGAAAATGCATGAATCTCTGGGATATTGGTGATGTAATTGCAAAGGAGAAAGTGTCAGTTATTTACATGCAAAGAACAAAGGTCTAAGAAGGGATAGGTCCAGTACAAAATCAGTATTTTAAAATTAAAACCAGAATATTTGCATAGTACTTGCTTTGTTTGTAATGTAATAGGAAGTATTTTTACCATATCTGGTTTTGTACATAATTTATAATGAAGGAGGATGAGATAGTGCTTGCTAATATTTATTAAAAAAAAAAGCAACAACAAAAAAGCCAAGCAAGCAAGCATTAACAGATAGATAAGGTATGCCCAAGGACAACAGCCATACCAATAAACTCTTCTATTCCTTAATATTAATTTTTAACCAATTTCTGTAAGCTAGGGGAATTGGAGAGGACTGAATTCAATATTTGGAACAAAACAAAGGGATGATTCAAAAAGCTGCACGCTAATTATCTGAATGTTGACCCAATGTAAAAATAATTTTGGAAAGTTTTAAAAAACATTAGAATCTGAAGGAAGAGTTTACTGTCATTCAGTATGACTTTTCTGTAAGGTAATGTATCTTTCTAACACATTTTGTCTCTTTTGCCAAGATTGTGCAAAACAATATCGAGATACTGGAACATTGCTTGAGCAGTTGAACTAATTTGTGTGACCAGTTTTTTATTTAAAACAAGAGCATAGAAGAGAACATGTCAGAGAGGTTAAACAAATCTTTAATGGTACATCATGTAAAGTCATGCTTACTGGGGAGACATCAGTGATCAGAAGTGCTTCTAGTGTAGGTTTCCCCAACGGTCCATTTCAGGCTTCTTCAGTATCTGTATCAACCCATGTAGATAGTACTACTCAAACCTTGCCTGTGAGATTTATCTTTTAAAATACAAAGTTCATGTATATGTATACATGTGTACGTGTATTTATTTGAGGAGTAGGAAGATTAGGTTACTGTTAGAGAATGACTCAAAATGAATGGTCAACTGATAAATCCAATAAGAAATCTAGTAAGACTATGTTAGATGCAGTTTAGTGCTGGGTACTGTGTATTTGGGTATGAGCTCTGCATGTAGGATGGAAGTTTTTAGTTGGAAAACGCTGATTTGAGAGAGAACTGGTGATCATTGAAGATAACTGCTTCAGTAATGCAAAAGGCACTCTTGGGTTGAAGGAGGGATGTGATCTTGCTCATGTTCGAAGTCGAAAAGACTGCACAATTTTGTTCACTTCTGAGTTCAGCTTGGGATCATAAAAATAACTGATGGCTTTGAAGATGAATGGCTTTTGAGGTGTGTAAGGTGTTGGGTTCATTTATTCAGCCTCAACCTCAAAAAGAGGTTGGAAGATGACTAGGTTGTGCTGTGCAGGTGCTTACGCGTGCTTGATACCGATTAATAGGGGTTTTAGA